AAAATAGTAAATACCATTATGTCCTCCTGTTTTTTACAGTAATAAAAGTTATAGGAGCATTAAATAGTTAACAAAGAAATCATTTTGAACAAAATTCATTCTAATGCTCATTATATGAGTGTTAGCCGCGCTTATGCTAACGATTAACTACGTATATGTGAGAGCTCTCAGACCCTGCATAGACAGCAATAAAACTGAAATATTCCCAAGTCATAAAGAGTACATAAAGAGTTCCCATGGATTATTTTACCGATCTCCTTGCTACGTTACTGGACTTGGGAACATTTAAGTTGTATTGCTGTCTATGCAGGGTCTGAGAGCTCTCAATTTCATCAAAAATATCTTAATTTGTGTTCCGAAGATGAACGAAGGTCTTACGGGTTTGAAATGACTTGAGGGTGAATAATTAATGACAGAATTTTCATTTTTGGGTGAACTAACCCTTTAACTTGGTGTGGATGCCCCTCATCTAAAACTGGGTTCCCAAGTTCTGCTAAGCTAAGTGAGTGGCCCCGGGCATAAGTGGTTAGGCCCCTTTCTGAGGAAAGGTTAGGTGTATGTCTGCCACTTCCTTGGTGCTCTCTCACCTGGTTGACAGCCATGTGCTGCGGCATGGCATAGTTGGCATTTAACTCCCCAAAGTGTATGCTAGAGGACGCAGTGCGAGTTCCCTAGAAGGGGAACTCTCGGGTTACGCATGTTTCCATGGTTCCCCGAGAGGGAATGAGACGCTGCGTCTCCTCGCCAAGCCAAGTTGGTGACGTGTTCTGCAGGCACCCTCTTATACTTCTGGGTGCAGCTCTCACATTTCATCAAAAATATCTTAATTTGTGTTCCGAAGATGAACGAAGGTCTTACGGGTTTGAAATGACTTGAGGGTGAGTAATTAATGACAGAATTTTCATTTTTGGATGAACTAACACTTTAAAACTCAGTATTGCATTAAACAATCGTCAATGGTCATTAAAAACTTAGTTAAACTTTATAACACTGCATCATTAAGCGAAACTACTTTGTTTGGCCTTCCAAAAGAGGACGATATGCGCTAGAGTGCCGGCTTTTCTGACTCAGACTGTAAGTACGTTTTTTTTATATTTAAAGAATTTGCCACTGACGATTCAAACGCAAGTTTTGAGCAGTGTAGAGTAGCACTTGTTGTTTGTCATTTCTCCGATCACAAATGCAGACATGGTTTTATGTTTACGCGGCGTGATGCAACGCGTAAAAAGACATTATAAGTCATTATAATCCGTAATTGTCCCCACTGGATGCAAAAAATTCCTCGTTTATAATGGGTTTTAATGTTTTTGTCTCGTCGTTCCGGCTGGACAGGGCATCACAATATATGGTAAGGGGCGTAACATTTCCGTCACACGCTTGAGGTATTCGGCCAATCACAATGCACTGGATATCATTTTTTGTGTATATTTGACAGTTTATGCGCGTGCCTGAAACCCTCAGTATACTTGTCTATGTTTAGCTCCATGTGGGAAAACACAGAACGCACCTAAGGAACAGTCTCTTTTGCAGTTAATGCACTTTTTATAGCTCTTTAAAATAAAGCATGTCCCGCAGTAGACTGTATTTCACGACAGCCACGTTACATGATTTGACCAATTTGGACATTGTTAGGATTTTAAGGACAGGCGAAAGCGCACCGCTTTAAATGAAAGGAATGGCATGCGGCACAATGATCATTTTATAAAATCGAAACTCAAACTAAAATTTAATTAATCGCAGTAGTGTTGTCACGGTACCAAAATTTCAGTATTCAGTACTGATACCAGTGAAAATCCACGGTTCTCGGTACCAATTTCGGTAGGCGATGTTTATTTCAATCCGAAATTCAAATTAAAATATGGAATAATATTCATTACAGAAGCTCTAAATATTACAAATGTAATTGAAACTTACCTGCTTGAACTTGATCGGGGTGTTTTGTTAGTTTGATGCGTTTCCTCCTCACTGCTTTTATGAAGTGGTTGCCAGGTTTTCACAACAAAACCCGCCCAATTGCGTTTCGAGGGGGTCCCCCGTTAAAAATCGCGTTCCGAGGATAAAATGCACATGTTTTGGCGGGGTTCGCCTGGTAAAATTCGCATTCCAGGGGCTAAACGTTATCACGTTAATGGGGTCGTTTTTCAACCCGCAGACATGAAAAACAACCCGCGGCAACAGTGTTAAGCAGCCCAATTCCGCGGGAAAACCGCGGACTTGGCAACACTGGAAGAGGATAGCTTTCTGATAGCGCATCAAGAACCGGGTTGACTGGGTACTCGGTACCACCGGTACTTAAAAAAACCTGGTACCGTAACGTTTTCATTTTTTTAGTACCGACTTGGTACCGAAATACCGGGTCTTTTGACAACACTACATCGCAGTACTACTGCTAGCTCACGTTGAACTGTTTGTCAGATACGTCACCACACATGAAAGACACATGATATAATTTGGCCAGTCACAGTCATCTAGTAGGCAGTCATTGCTATAGCTTTAAAATTTTTACGAAGACATAAAAGATCACGATCTCTACGATGCACTTAAAGTAGATTGTCGACGTCTTCAAGATCGATCATGATATGAAATCATCAGATCGCCCACCCTTAATTTAATGTAAATTTATCTGTTTAAGTTTAATTCTGTCACTTCATTATTTAAAACCCTCTTAGTATTACTGGTATATTAAGGGATATTTTTACTTTATGGCACAGGTTAAATGTACAGATTATATCATTGGTTACATTTAGAAAACTATTTTAAGTAGCTTAAATGTAGCCAAATAGGCCCTCAGGTTGTTTTTGTCCCTTTTGTAACTGAGATCCTATTTTGGTCCCATATGGTGCCGTGTGCATATTTATATTTTGCTAAGTTGTACAGAATGTGAGTACTCTAAACACCAATATTATGTTACTGCTGTATCAATTGTAGTTTCTTTGACCACAGATCTGATATGTGAAGCTTTTTTCGCTACAGAGTAGGTATGTGAGACTTTATATTTTGCAGAGTAAGAATATTTTACAAAGTGTTGCAACTGTGATACACCCTCTGTTCAGTAACTCTCTTTGTTAAAAGTAAATGGAGGTTATACTTTGGACTTAACCTAAATAAAACAATGTTTAACAAGCTTCTAGCTGTTGTGATCTGAGTTTGAATATGTAGACCAGTTTTTTGTCCTTTCAATATGAGAAACGTTTGCATTTGAGCCTCAACAAACTGATTTCCTCAGATCAGAAGAGCAGAACAGCTTCGTTTCAGATGATAGTCTGTCGTTTACATGATTATGTTCGGATCATCCAGGAAGTGCCGTCTTATTCTCCTACATACGTGTATTCTGTGAGCATGTGGTTTTGTGACATGCAGTTTGCATGCTATCTATTCTGTTTTGTTCTTTTTCCCTTCCAGTATGTGTTTACCTGTGTGTGTGTTTGTGTGTGTGTGTGTGTGTGTGTGTGTGTGTGTGTGTATGTGTGTCTGATGTGTGTGTCCTGTAATGTTTGGTGTGTTTCTGTAGCGTTTGACAAAGGCACTGGATGGATAGCATCGACGCTGAAGCCCTCTACCTGACCACAGCGCAGCACGGGCAACCTCAATGCGAGCTTTCCCTTCCTGCTGTGGAAGTACCTGCCCTTGGCGGGTAAGAACACGTACACTTCATGTCTTTTCACCCCAGGGGTATGAGGATACCCTCCATCTGCAGGTTTTCCCTCAGTGAGAAACAAATCTTTCAAGCAGCTTCTTTTTGAAGCTGGAATGAGAAGAAAAACATTGCTTTTTATTTTTCATTGCTCCTTTTTCTAAATAGTACCCATGCCTGCAGTGTGCAGCCCACCAGATGTCATGGCCTGTTTGAATGTCTGTCAGACCATTGAAAAAGTAATAAAATCATTACATTCTGATTAATCGCTGAAACATTAGTTCTCTCTTTTGGAAGGGTGTTCTTTAAAATATTGCTGTATATATGATTTATATGCATTACATTCGGACTGAATCAGCATATTGGATACATTTATTTAGCAATTAATGAATGTGTTGATAGAATGCTATTTATGTTGTTACATATGTTTTTTTTTTTTGTGCTAAACAAAGCCAAATAGTGGACCTCAGCCTGTCTGTGGCTTATTTTGTTTGTCGCCTTTGACTGCGAGCTTATAACACGACCCTTGTCGCATGACCCTAGGCAGCTTTTTCCTCCCTCCCTTCCATCACCCCTCCATGCTGGAATAGTGTACAGTTCATGGCCCGCTTTTGGAACCCGATTGTGTCCTGGCAGTGCTTCAGCTCAGGGATTAGCAGAGAGCTGCCCGTCCCCATTCATTCCTGCCACTCACTCACGCTTATCAGCATCGATCTGACACGTTATTTATCTGACACTGCACTCAGTTCTGCTTTGCTAGGAGAAAAACTCACAAAAAAGTCCCCCTCCATCAGCACTTTCCTTTGTGGGAGCAGGGGTGCAGCTTTTAGTGGCCTGTTCGGCCCATCCTAATTCTCAGTCCCAGCCCAGTGACCAGAGCTACGGCCTGTGTTTGTCATCCAGCACAGTGCCGAGCCTCATCGATGTCTCTCTTTGCTCCATGTCGATTTGAGTTTTGTGGGGTCTGATCAGCCTCAATGAGGTGTGCGCTTCCCTTTCTTACCCAGCTGTTCCCATGTCACTTATGACTGAACCTTGAGAGACGTACTTGACAGATAGTCGCTGTGGCTGTTTTAGTGTTTAAGTGTGAGAAAGTCTGTTTTTGTCGATTCCATCAGCGTTCATTTGAGACTTACTGACTAGTGAAGTGCTGAAGAAAATGGCTTCCTTTAAACTGGATTTTCTGCCAGAGATGATGGTGGACCATTGCAGTTTGAGTTCCAACTCAGTGTGAGTACAGACTTGACTTTAGCCTGGTGTAACTTGATTTGGGTTACACACTAATACCTTAAATTCTCCTTTGATTGATGGTCACTGTGTTAGGGTGGAATGTTCTGAATTTATATGTTTAATATTTCTTTGTATTAATCAGTGTGGTTTGTAAAATCTTATGAGTGGTTAACTGGTTTCTTTACTTTTTATTCAGAGCTGAGAGTACAGTAAATGTCAAATGTAGGGCTGTGTAATTAATCGCATGCGATTGTAATGCGCATCTCGTCAGTAAAGCCGGTTTCGTGATTGGTAGTAAATCTCCATCACCTGCTTTCAGATGGAGCGGCATTTACTACACGGAGCCGTAGTTCACTGACAATTAGGCAATATCGCCTTCATAATCGCAGATGAATCTCATTCGATTATGAACGCGATATTGCCTAGCGTGTTAGTGAACTACGGCTCTGTGTATTAAATGCGCTCCACCTGAAAGCAGGTGGAGATTTACTACCAATCACGGAACCGGCTTTACTGACGAGATGCGCATGACAATCGTATGCGATTAATTGCACAGCCCTAGTCAAATGTTTTGTGTGAATTTAAGTTTGATTCAGAGTAGTGGTCGACCGATATATTGGCCGATATTTGGCATTTTTCAAATATCGGCATCGGCTGATAAGTTTTTCTGTTGGGCCGATGTGTTCGAGTCACCTGAGCGCACACCGCTCACATTCTCCCTCTTGTTCGCTGTCGTCGTTCAGTTCTGTCTAATATGGATAAGTCTATCTAATAATCAGATGGAACTGTTAAACAAAGGAATTAAAATGTATACAAAAAAGTATTATAATGATTGCTTTAATATTATTAGTAATAAAAAGGCAAACATTATAATACTTTCTCGGTTGCCGTCAAGCATTCAGCAAATACGCATTTATATAATTTAAACAAATCTTTGAATGACTAATGAACATTTAATTTCACAAACCTTGCAGACTTTGTCGAATCTAGTTGAGATCTTGTGAAGTGTGCATGTGACCTGCATGATAGCGTGTTCTCTGTGTGACTTTCAGTCCGTGCCAATTGAATGTGGATAGGAGGAGAGTTCAGCTTCACTGGAGACGCGCGATCGACAAACTTTAAACTCATGATTTCAAATGATGCTGCACTTTATGCATTTGCCCACTGTCATATTCATGTC